TGAAGTCACTGCTGTGGGCTATCAGTCCGGTCGAGATCTGACAAGGCCGTTGCAAAAGGGTATAGGGTTTAGGGCTACAGCTCTTACTTTCAACACTGCACAACAAGAAAAGGTGGCTGCAGTGGGTCGTGTACGGTTCTTGGTTCTTGAGAGCTCCGCTGTAGTCCCTCTATATATGGGTGGTTGTCAAAACTAGGGCGTCTTTTTGGATTCCCCAGCTATAGGGTGCCGTATTAAGAGTAGAATCATATAACAGGGTTTTCTCACGGGACCATGGTGTTACCCATATGATGATGTTGACAGTTACCACATACCCCAAATCCCTGTTCTGGTTACCAGGGGTTCTAGTTTATGGTAGAAGGATACTTTCCATGTACAGCCAGAAGAGGACTTCGCACACTTGAACCACTAGTGCTTCGCAGTGTCGGTGTCTTTGCGGCTAATTTAGTCTTCGGAAGTTCAGTAGGAGCTTTGCTACTGGGTTTGAGCTCTCTACCTGGGTTATGTACGAAGGGTCTAGTGCTTTGCGCCTTGAAATCTTTCTTTAATCTGCGGCCCGAATCCTTCGCAGTACCATTCCATAACTTCCTTATAACGTTCTTAGTATAGACAGTATCCCTAAACCCTAAACCCTACAAACGCCCCCAAGACCTTAAGGCTCCAGAGGTGGTCTCCTTGTAGGTTTTTCCCGATAGGAGCCGGGTCTTTGGGAATTTTGTGTTTCGCCGATGTTTGCCTCTAGAGCCTCCAACAAACCCAAAGACAAAGCCTAAACCGCTTTGCACAACCAGAAACTCCCCCCGATCAATAAGCACCGCTCTCATGTGCCTCAGTCCTTGTTCTAATCCTTTTGAGGCGGGGGGGGGGGGGGCTGACCCACCAGGGGTATGCATTAAGGTTTCAGGCACTTCCCGAATCCCAAGTTGCTGTTCCCGGAACAGTTTGCGGTTTAGTTTGGGGTTTAGGGTGCTTGACCAACAACAAAACAATTAACACAGCCGCTTGCTTCATGCACGTCCTGCAATTTGCCGAGCCTGAGCATCAGGATCCCATATTCACCCAGATTGAAGGAAGAGTTTTTTTCGTACCGAAATCCCAAACCCTAGCTTATGCCTCAAACTTTACATCTCAAAATTCTACACCCAATTTAGAACCCTGAGCTTTAAAGCCCTACACCCCAAAAGCCTTCTTTGAACAAATCTGGGAAGGGGTATAGTATACTGTATTTCCACATAAAATTCGGTATTTGACCTAATGTAACGTAATATGCTACATATGCTACCAGTACAGCATACTATATTGCTTCTTCTGTGATATACCTAAACACTAGACCCTAAACCCTACACCCTCAGGGGCACCTTGTATCAGTACCGCGCGCCGACCCAAGCCCGAGGATCCTCGCCTGGCTTGTCCGAGTTGTGAGAGCGTAAACCCTACTTGGCGGGGCGCGGGGGACTTAGTAAGTAGCTGTTTTACAGAGTTATAAGTATCCTAACCCCATTTAGGATCCCTATTAGGGTACTTATAAGTCTACTTATTCCTCACTTACTAAGTCCCCCGACTCTCCAAGTACACCCTTCTCCCTAGACCTCACACCTGATATGCCGCTTATCTGGCAAGAGATGGCGTACATCACTTCTCGCCTAATCCCGGAACATTAAACCCTAAACCCCAAACCCAAAACTCCGAAGCCCAAAACTCTAAACCCTAAACCGCTAAACCCTAAAACCCCAAACCCCAAAACCCTGAACCCTGAACCAAAGACCCAAATCCCACATCCCCGCTGGCCTTGCCCGAGGATGGTGCCGAGGTTCCGGCGCCCGGCCCCGAGCCGAAGCTTTGGGCGATGAGCAAGCCGAGGCCATACTCCGAAATTGTGAAGTTTTGTTTTTTTAGGGGTTTAGGGTTTAGGGTTTAGGATTTAGGGTTTTAGAGTTTAGGGTTTTAGAGTTTAGGGTTTAGGGTTTGGGGGTTGGTGTCTAGGGTTCAGGGGTTCAGGGGTTTAGGGTTTAGGGTTTTAGGGTTTAGGGGTTTAGGTGCTAGAGTCAGGGTTTAAGGTCTCAGAGTGCAGGGCTCCGTAGACTGTAGTAGACGGCTCAGGGCTTTCAAGGGTTTAGGGCTTTAGGATTTAGGATTTAGGGTCTAGGGCTTTAGGATTTAGGATTTGGGATTACCTTCAGGATTATAGGGTTGTTTAGGCAGGGTGAACCCTAAACCCTAAACCCTAAACCCTAAACCCTAAACCCTAAACCCTAAACGGTTTTATGCCCGGGTTCAACCCAGGGAGTTCTTCTGGGGGCTTGGAGTTAAGTTTAGGATGTGGGTGGGGGGTTAGTTTAGGGTTTAGAGCTTTAGGGCTCCAGGGTGTTCTGGGACCAAGGATTCGGAATTTGAGGGTTTATGGGGTGTTTGTGGAATCATGGGGTTGGAGTTTATGATTCAATGGCGCTTAAAGGGTTCTATAAGGGCTGCTATAAGGGGTTAGGGTTTAGCCCAACTACTTAAGCACATGTCAGTCAAAGCCCTCAACGGCCTTCCAACTCCAAGCTCGATCCGCCGAAGACACCCTGAATCCTAGACTCCAGAGAACGGCTTAGGGTTTAGGTTTTAGGGTTTAGGGTGTTTAGGGCTTTGGAGTACCATGCTTTAATACTTTTTTGGGGACCTGTTCCTTAAAGGAACCATTATGAAATAAAAGTCTATACTTTTTTCTCCCCGGTTACTTCAAATAAGCCCAGGGAAGCTGCCTAAGTCCCTTATACTAACCCCAGTGAGTGAGCTGGATGATCGACACCCTGAGCACCAAACTCTAAACCCCGAAGCTAGAAATCCTAAACTACTATACCCTACGCCTTCAACCCCTAAAAAACTTATACCCTATGCCCTCCACCCCTGTATATAGAAGCCTAAACTATTCCCTAGGCCCTCAACCCCTATAGAAGCCCTAAACCCTAAACCCTCAACCCCTGTAGAAGTCTAAACTGCGCCCCAAATCTCCGACCAGGAAAGTTCTTTGCGAGAACGGCCCGGAGAAGAGCAGCCTTGCTTTTTGGGGCTTTTGTAATCTTTCAGGGTTTAGGGTTTAGGGTTTAGGGTTTAGGCACTTCAGAGAGACCTCGTTCAAAAAAAAGGGTTTAGGGGTTTAGGGTTTAGGGTTTATTAGGGTTTGTACATTCTTTTCCTCAGAAACGGCTACCGTGGGGCCTGCGTTTTTGGTTAGGGTTTAGGGTTTAGGGTTCTCTTTTGTCGCTTGTATAGCTCCAAAAAGTTGGAAACCGGATCAAGGACAAATAGTCCTGGGATTCCCTATTACTGTACTCTTAAGGGTTGAGGCTCTTGGGTTTCAAAATTTTGGGATTCTACTACCGGGCTTGTGTAGTTTTGTATAAAAGGGATCCGCAGGGCTTTCGGCCTAAGAAACTTACGTACCTTCTCAGATGTCTACTTCTACTACGGTTGATGATATAAATCNNCCTGCATGACCCATAATGAGGAATATCTCATAATTCCCATCGTTTAATACGGCACCCCATAGTTTGGGATCCCCAAAGGGACCCTCGGTTAGACCCTTACCCACAAGTCCTTGAAAAAAGGTAGTTTTTTTTTGGTGGGGGGGGGGGGG